TTGCAAACCCAAATCAATATTATCAATTTCTTTGTGATGATGGAGAACTCTCCAAGAAAGGAAATGTTTGCAATTTTCATATGACTTCTCAAAAAGGGTTATTTTTCAACTAGAAATACATTACATATTCGAGTTTGGGGCATACAGTTTATGCAGTATTATCAACAGTATATATATGACCAGCAATCGTATGCTATGCATAGTGACAGAGACTTACAAGATCCACATTGGCAGGGTCGTCTAATCCCTGGTCAACAACTGAGCGTAGTTCTGGGAACTCCTCCATTGCATATAATATTGGAGCTGTGACAATTCCCTGCAAAAATGAGCTATCAGAACGTAAAACAATCTGCATCAAATGCCATAGTTCTGTAAAAGGAAAAAGAAACAATCTAAATTGGTAATAATAGTGTTCCTGACTGTTAAGCAACTTTTGCTTTATTTGCCCAAAGGAATGTATCATGCCTTTAAAACATAAAAATAATATGCCAACAAAGTGAGTTGATTACATGGCGAATATCAGATAATGAGCCCTTCCCAAGAGATGATGATGTGCCTGTGAAATCAAGAACATCATCGATTAACTGGAACGCCAAACCCTGCAGGAAAGAGAAGATGATGAGTCAGAGTTACAATTATATTGGTCGGTTCGAGAAATATGCCAATAGACAATGCATCACCATTAACCACATTGTTGGCAAGYGATTCATATTGACCCTTGATAACATTAAAATATCAGTTCATTGAACTTCAAAAAATTCATTTGCTTCTTCGTTTAAGAAAACAAGCATGAATGTTACTCAAAATTATACTCATGAGTCATGTCCGTTTGGTAAATGGCTTTCCAAAACGAACCACATGTTATGCTTTGGAAAATTATCTATAACATACGATAACTACATTCTTGATGCTTACAGACCAGATTTTTCCCGTACTCGTATGCCAACATAGACACCTCTGCAGTTTGCCCAGTAAGAAGGGCAATGGATTTGCAGCTGTTTGATATCAGCGATGCAGTCTTGTAGTATGTCTTCTGCAAATAATAATCCATACTGCAATGGCAAAATTTTAATCAAACCGAAAAATTGAAAGAGAAGTATATCCAACCTCAAACACTAACATTGTGAAACAGTCCATCAACGATCACAAAGGTATTAACTTTGACAACATATGAATATAAGGCAGGAATGTTTACGATCTTCTACCTTCACTTCATGCCTAGACAGCGATATTAACTCACCACCAACAAAATGTGCATTTTTAAGATGCACAGCCGTCCTAATAGAGTATTTCAAGACTTTAAGTTCATAGAACTAAAGTTCAGCATCCTATTTCAAGCGTTACAATAAGTTGTTATATAGGCCACCTAACAAGTTAAGGCACCTTTCAACAGTGTCCTATAAAAGTCTAATAGGGCAATTTCACTAACATTGTGAAACAGTCCATCAACGATCACAAAGGTATTTGATAAGATATGGATATGAGGCTAGAATGTTTACGATCTTCTACCTTCACTTCATGCCTAGACAGCAATATTACACTCACCACAAACAAAATGTGCCTTTTAAGACACACAGACGTCCTAATAGAGTATTCAAGACTTCAAGTTCATAGAACCAAAGTTGAGTGTCCTATCTCGGACGTTACAATAAGTTGGTATATAGGTCACCTAACAAGTTTAGGCACCTTTCAACAGTGTCCTACAAAAAGCTAATAGGGCAATTTACTTCTTATGTCATATTAGTTTCCCCAATTTCATCCATATAATTTGTCAAGTTGCTTTACTTTGTCCTATAAACTTATTGTAACACCTTTAGATAGAGCACACAGTTTCTGGTCCTATGAACTTAAAGTGTAGTTAAGTACTATGTTAGGACGCCCAAGGATGGTGGTTCATCCTATAAGACCCATTTTGTTGTAATGGATTGAACTCTCCAATGCAGATTACACCACCAAGAGAAGTAGCATACCTACTACGCTGCTCTGCTGATGTGCTCATTTGCATCGTCTCCCCAGTAACAAGATGCTCTACTGCTGTTGCTATTAGTGATACAACCTGCAACCAACAGTGGAATACAATGAACATTTGTAAACAACCATGTTAGAAGATGCAAGGAAGTCGCATGCATAAAGACATAAATAAATGGATACCTCTGTGTTTTTTAAAGAGGCAAGTGTGATACAAGCTCTAGAAAGCAAGAAATCTCCAGCCAATACTGCAAGCTGCATCATGAAAAGAGCAGTAGTATTTTTGTGGTAATGAAGGCAGTCTGGTTAATATGCATCATTAATTGCTCATGCAAATATTCCCATACTGAGTGAAATACTACTACACGCAACATTTTCTTCTGAGAATAGCCAATTGTGAATATGTAGATGCATCACATGATATGATATCAACCCAAACATCAAAACTTCAAGGTCAGGCATGGAGTTCAAGTCTTACAAGAGAGAAGTGGGTAGAGTATACTAGTTGGTGTGAGGAAAAAGTAAATGCATCAAAGTTAAACCATGCCGCTAAACAATCCAAGCTGCCTCATTTAGTTGAACCAAAAACCAAAGTACATTATTAGTGAACTCTATTAAGTCGTCAACTGTTAGACATGGTGTCACGCTTTCCAGGCACAATCACAGGAATAATTAGACACAAGATATGGCAACCATATTACGGTAATATAGGAAGTATATTACTAACATAATAGAATTAGTCCATAATAAGGAGCTGGGAAAAGAATGTATGTTGAATTTGATAATAAACGATAGGAAACCGATTCTTATGGAGTACCTACCTCTAGAGAGTAGGTATATTTTTCGTTCATTTGGTATTTGTGCATATGTATTCAATAGATCTTCTTCTAGTCCCAATCAAATTGGTATCAAAGGCTGCTTCTGGGTCATGGCAGCCTAGAAGGATGAAGAATTCGAAAAACTAGAGATAAGAGGATGAAGAAGTCCGGTCAACCATGGTGGAGAAAGTTCAGGGATGAAAAAAAAGGTTGAAGCTGGATTTTTGTCCATGAAGTTGATGCTGAATATATAGGAGACGCATACTACACAAAGGACACCACCTGCAACAATGATGGATGAAGGGGAAACCGGTGAGAAAAGCAAAACCTGAGAGAAAGGGAAGGGAGTGGGAATGGAAAGCGAAGGGGGAGCGAAGCCGGGGCCAAGTAATGCCCTAGACGGCGGTAATGCCGACAGCCAACCTAGACAATGATTGGGAGCAGGGACCAGGATATGGGTGATCATGATTTAAGCAAGAGAGAAGGTGGGGCAGCAACAGAGGCCATGGTGGTTTTCAGCGAACGGCACTAGGGGCACATGGGGAGATAACATGGAGAAACAAAGCCGAAGACTTGGCAAGGATGACATGTTTCAAGGGGTCCACAAGTTAAGTGAGTAAAAGACTACAATTTTGACCCTCATGACGAGAAGATATACCAGAGGAGAATTTGGAACAGACACAATTACAAAAGGGGAATTAAGTAGATTTACAAGTAATTCCAGTACTCATCACTGGCAAGCTATAAGGCGGGTGCTAAAATATTTAAGGAAAACCAAGGACTATGGTTTGTCATATATGGGATTTCCTTCGATTATTTATGGGTACTCTGATGCAAGTTGGATTACCAATTTTGAAGATCACTCATCCACAAATGAATGGGTGTTCCTACTTGGAGGAGGAGGAGGAATTTCATGGGCCTCTAAAAAGCAAACTTGCATCACAAATTCAACAATGGAATCTGAATTTGTAGTTCTATTTGCTGCTGGGAAAGAGGAAGAATGGCTAAGAAATCTTATCTATGAGATTCCTTTGTGGTCAAAACCAATCCCACCCATTTCTATACACTGTGATAGTGTTGCAACTTTGGCAAAAGCATTTAGTCAAGTGTATAATGGAAATTCGCAACATTTGGGTGTTAGACATAGTATGGTACGTGACCTGATCACTCATGGGATTATCTCTGTTGCATTTGTTCGATCATAACAAAATCTAGTTGATCACTTGACTAAAGGATTAGCTAGGGACTTGGTAAATAAGTCAGCTATAGGGATGGGTTTAAGGCCCGTTTGATATCTCTAAGGTGAGATACCCAATTCCCTTCTAATACAATATTAGGAGTTAAATTCAATGTGGAAAACTTACTTTTGGAGATTGAAGCACATCGTCAACATCATCCCAAGGTATGTGCTTAGTCCTGCAGACTAGAGTTAAGTTGAATATATTTCTTAATGGTTCTTTTGAAAAAGTGCATTTGCAGGTGCATGAAGTAAAAGGGCTATCTATGTGAGTGTGAAGTGTCGCCGCTTCCGAAAGCTTGGGCTTGACTTTTTATGCACTCATGAATGGATAGGACACATGGCTTAATAATAGTGTCAAGCATAAACACTAGATTTTGTGTATTAACTTATGTGTATAATATCTTCAATTACTCAAATAAGTTGATGAGTTCAATCCTTGGGACACCCAGATTCTCGAGTATTTGGAACGTATATTATACTAATGTGGAAATTCAATCTTCTAGATATTTTCATTTATGCATGAGTTTGATTCTATGTTTGAACTTTTAGTTAACAAAAGATTACACTAAAATGGGGGAGGAATGTTGGTGATTTTAGTGTCATCTAGCCATTTGGTGTAGTCAAGATTAATGTAAGACAAAATGAGTTTTGTATTGGCTACAACTCGAGTTCGGAGGTGTGGAGCGCACACTCGGATAAGCTAATATGAACTCGAGAATACAGGGTCAAGGGAATGTTGAACCATTGCATTATTTATTTCCAAGTGAAATGAATCGTCACATCTTTTCCTAACAGATGCGACTTTTCCCAACAAATGCAACATTTCCCTCTTTAATTAACTAACACTTTTTTAGTTAATTAACCGAAATAACTACCAATTTTAGTTAATTAACTGAATTAACTATCACCTTTTGGTTAGTTAACCGAATTAAATAACACCTTTCTGAAAAAGGTGTGTCTTTTGGTATTCTTACAAACGATGTTCCATATTTGCTAAAGACATACGAAAAACATACACTGGTTTTTCTCTGTCGAATTTGCCTCTACGAACATAATCTATATCAAGGTATTCTGTGTTTTACTAATCTTGGATTTGTCTGAAATCCGGATTGAATTATTGGATTATCCCAAATCTGAATTCGTGTAACCCTAGGTTATAGGGTCGAATTACAGATTCTAGAAAGTGTTCCACACACAATCCAACTAATTATCCAAGTTTATTGATATTTTGAATCCCTAGAACTCTAACAAAAGCTAAACAATTTTTTTAAAGAACCCTCGGAAAGCCCTCGGTAATATGAACCATCAGAAATCCATTGGTAATTGGCCCTGTCGAAAAGTCGTCGACAAAAAGCTGTCGATAAATTGTCAGTAGAATTTACCACCCACTTTTAACAATTTTTTTCCGCCGGAAAGTCATCGATAAATGTAAGAATTTATTTTGTTTAGAAAATTAATAATAATGATTGGATATTATAATAAAAATGGAAAAAGGAAGGGTAAAAATGGATTTAGGATGAGTAGGGCTGTAAACGAACTGAACGAACACGAACGGAGGCTTGTTCATGTTCGTTCGTTTAACTTAACCGAACAAACGAACGAACACGAACGGTAAACGAACGAAAATCTTTGTGTTCGTGTTCGTTCGTTTATAAATCAGGTATATTCGTGTTCGTTTATGTTCGTTCGTTAACATACTAAACAAACGTAAACGAACGAACATAAACGAACGGACTAAACGAACATAAATAAATATTATTTGAATTCAAAGTATATAAACAAAAGATTATATATCTATACTATCTTATAAAGCATTTGGCTAAAACTCTTAAAAACTCTTAAACCCGTTCATCCCTATCCGATTTCATC